TTTTTCTTCCATTCTATCTTTTTTTTTTTTTTTTGATGAATCGATCCATATAGGATGAATGAATTTGGTTATGATATTGTATACTATATTATTATTTTTTTGAATAAATAATATAAATATAGTAATATATAAAAACTAATATATTGTTTCTAGTATTGTTGAAAATATTATTATAACATGAAAAATCTAAAAATATGATCATTTACTGAAAAAAAAAAGAAAATCTAAAAATATTTTTTTTATAAATTCATCATAAAAATATTATTATTTGATTAATAAATCTAAGTTGAACAAAACAAAATTGCAGGGATACATGGATCTGTATCGGATGGTCCACATCCAAAGGTGGGTTGCCGCCCCTCTAAGCTACGTGAGTAGGAGAGATATGTCATCATAACTCCACCTCGTTCAACCATTCCTTGTCCTACCCACCTTAACTTGGTCTTCTCTCACGCTCTTCTATAAATGAGGGGCTGCGGTGTCTCAGTATGATGGCACAGAGGAGAGAAAGGGGGTGGCCTTCTTCGTTGTTCCTTCCTGCTCCGGTAACTGATACACTCTCTGATTGATAATAAGACAGAGGAGGCTCACAAATGATCTCAAGCGTTTCCACGGACGGCATCCTCATAGATCAATCGCAGTCGAGTCCAAGAAAAGTTACTCTGGCTGTCAACGACGTTACCGGTACCGGAGGAGGATCTGTGAGGAGATCCAGACGTGGCTATCTGAACTCTCTTCCTTCTTTGATTTCCGTTGATGAAAGAGTCGTTCCTCCTCCTCCTCCTCCTCCTCATCATCATTCCCTTCCAGTCCTTCAACCCCCTCTTCTGCCCCTTCCCACAACCAGGTCTGCTACGCTCCCGCCAGCCACCAAGGCCGGCATGTTTAGGTCGAGGGGTCGCAGGATGAAGCCGAAGCCTGGTTTAAACTCGAGAAAGGAGACACTTAACTTTCCAAAAGCCGCTCAGTGTGGATCCCGTGAGCTCGAAGAAGAGCCTAAAAGGAGAGTAGAGAAGGTGACGTTGTTAAACGAGGAAGGAGAAGAGCTGACGACGGAGTTGATCTACTCGCGCTCTCCGCCTCCCTGCAGCCTTCCTCTGCCTAGTTTTCTTCTTACTAAGCACAGGGCCACAGCTGCATGCCTCTTGCATCGCTGAAGCAAGAGGAACACTCCAGCTTCGAAGACCATGTCATATACACCTTTCGTTTCTTCTCTTCATCATGTGAGATAGCTCAGCAGCATGTTATATAGACGAGTCACATATCAATGAGAGTGTCACTCAACAGTACGGTTACTGAGATCATAAGCAATGGCTATAAACAGCAAAGAGGAAAATATTAGAACATAACCAAAAGTCCAACAAAAATCTTTTTAAAGTTCAAACAAAGGGATGACAATTGATCGTGTGGTCGATATCTCGATACTATATGATCTATATTTTAGCATCATACCCTTGATATATAGTCGACAAACATTCAACATCTTAGTGTGACACGTGATTGACATATGCACAATACTTCAGTATCACATTGATGATATCACGATATTATGTAGATGTGTTAATTGAATCATTACCATATGTCAAAGTTGGCATGAGAGAAACGTCTAATTACCCCTTCTGAGAGTAATGCTCCCACAAGCCTCTTATAAAAGCATCCCGTAAGTATATTTCTTGGGCACACTTAAAATGGCTTTAAACCTTTGTTTGAATTCTTCGAACCTTAAATTGACTTAAGCATCGGAGGATATTTGTTGGAAATACTCCCGACGTAATTTTGTAGGATTCGTTGTATCAAAGTCAAACAGATAAATCATTAAACAAGATTAAAGTGAGACATGCCTAAGAAATCCTTAACATCTAAATCTAACATCCACCTTGAATTAAAAACATACTTAACATCAAGGATCACTAAGCTCGATTTATATTAATTCTCCAATTCAAGTCATATATTCACTTTGCCATAAAAAGTAAACTTGAACTAAACGCTAAGATTTTTCTGGAATGATTTGTCTGGTGCTCTCAAGTGCTTTAATTATGATGGCAAATGCTATTGCTTTCAAGTGACCAAGCAAAACAAAAGATTAGACACTATAATTAATGTTCATAAATATAGCGAGTCTTTTTCCTACACTTTTTGGGATTTATGATATCCTAATCAAAATCCCTCAATTATAATCAGTCTAAAAAAAACAATTTTTGTTTATCTCTGCTATTATATAGGACATCTGACATATTTTATGTTCAGCTTGGCAACGAATCAATTTAAAACTTAGATTAGTAAAGTTCATTTCTGTTGCTTAGAGGATCATATTAAAGTGAAGCGATTTTATTTTTTTTAATTATTTTTATTATATTAAATAACATACATAATATTCACACGTGTATTTAAACCTAAGATTCAGATAAATGATAAAAACAGGATGGAAGTAAATATAACTCCACAATAGTTGTCGAATGATGATGTGTTGTGCAAGTGTATTT